ACTCTTGCTGCAGCATTTTGGATTAGCTGAAGGCTTTTCAGGGAGTTTTTAGGACATCCTGATACTAATGAATTACAGTAGTCCAGCCTGGTTGTCACAAAATTATAGATGTTAAAATGCATCTACAATTCCTGCTCCCTAAGGACTTTTCATTTATGTCAGTCTGTCAGTAGATTTCTTGCTTGAGCTCAGGGCAGTTAAAGAAATCAATGGAATAAAACGGGGCTGTCTGTTAGTCACAAACACAATAATGCTATTGGATACAGGTAATTGCTGATTCCTAAATGATTATTGCCTACAAATCCCATAAAAGATTAAAAACAACAATTTGTTGCCGAACTCACTAAATCAATACTTTTAGAAAAGTTGCTGGACACTGTAGTACCTTGCCAGGGGTAAATGGTGATTTGTTGAGGACTATTTTCACCTGTGGATTACACATTGTGTGCTGTGTTTGCACTTACAGCACCAGGGATGCTGTAATGCATTAAGAATTTACTCAAAATAAAATGCAGGGCTTGTGATCAGAACAAAAGGCCACCCAGTGCAATGCAAATACACGGTCGGACGATGAAACTCTATCACCCAGAGGAATGAGATAAACCAGCTTTTGGCTGAATAAACAGTAACAGGCAGTTACATCAATTCATTGTTGGTGTCGGACTATTCATTTTTTAATATAGAATAATTCCAGCTTCATTTTTGAAGTCACTTTCCGTGTACAGTGTACCAATCTCTTTGGTGTCACGTCCATTGATTGCTCTAGGATACAGTAATGAGCTGCAAACACCGGCATTACGTGTTTCTTTGTCAAAGGATCAGAACCTACTTTCAGCTGAGTTAAGGCCTTTGTCATGCGAGCTGGATGCCACTCCCTTGCCCAACCCAGGCAGGAAATATGACACAGACATTTACATAGTAATAAAGTTAGCTGATGAATTATCGTAAGTGGGAGTGGGGCAGACTTTAATTCCAGCCCCGGCTCATAAAAAGCAGTAGCCTTTTGTCACTTACTCTCAAGACAATCCGTCAACGTGCAGCTCATTACACTGCATGTTAGTTTTCAGACGAAGGCTTCTAGTAAAAAGCCCAATAAAAATATGCCTGCCCTTCAACCAATAAATTACACTATTTGTACTCTCAACTCAACTACAAAGCTTTCTTCAAGGAAAAGCAGCAGCTTTAATAGATGGGTTTGCTAATCACATGCCTCTCGGGTGACAAACAAAAAGCTGCAGTTCTATACAGGTTTGAAAAAGATGCTTTGTCCCATCTGAGGCAAAGCTTTCTCACAGGTACCAGCCGGTGTGGGAGTAACAGGTGCAGCATGGGAAACCAACGCTTTAGAGATGGAACGACTGGTGTGTATTTCACCCCCTCGGGCCATGAATGTTCTCGGGTGTCTCAATAGTTTGGCTTCAGGACTCAGTCTCCAACTGTTGTTTAGCTGTTGTGATTCTAATGGAAGTTATCCAAGTGATTCACTCTGCTGAGGCTCATTTTTTTCGTTCCATCATTCCTCCCTTTTCATCACCTTAAACTGATTAAACCCATCAACATTCCTTGTCTTTTGGCCATGTTTGTAGCTTTGCAAAGTGTGAGTTGCTTTAGATTTTCATCTGATTGCTCCCCTGAGAGGGTTAAGGGCTGAAAAGGGCTTAAATAAATTTGTGTAATAGAGCTGTAAAGATCAAAGGATTAGCATCTTCTCTGTGGAAAGGACAGAAAGTCCCTCAACACCCATACAGCTGCTGACTATAAAAAAGTAAATACAGCTGTATAAATGCACTGTTCGCAAGCTCTTCCTATTCAAATTCCATCATAATCAGCCTGTGTGCAGGAGCAACACATTACACACAGCTGAAATGGCTAATACTTCCTTTTTTACATGGAAAAACATTAGAGCCTTCACTGGGATTACTCATGTTCGTTACAGCAGTGAGTAGACCTCAGCCTCTGACAGGGACAGAGACCTTCAATACCAAATTTAAAACCGTGACACAGAAGAGCTTAACACACAAAAAAACAAAAAAACAAAAACGAGGAGTGAAACCTTATCGTTTTCTTTTCTCTAACCGAAACCCGAGTGCCTCTGCGAAGCTTGCCAAGGGCTGACGACATCTTATAGAGATGATGTGGGCTTGCTGCCCATGAGTATCACATTCTCAGGGTCATAAATGTCTGGGCTGCGCAAAATGGTATTGAATTTAAATAATTTTTCATACAAGCCCCTGTCACAGAAAACAAGACACTTTCCCCCTGAGATACGTCCCACCCAACCGAAGCCTTTCTTTAGAATTTGAAAACGTCATCTCCAAAATGTTACATATCCATCTTGGAAGAAAGAAAATCAATATCTCTGGTGCATCCTTCACTCTGAATAAAACTGGTAAAAATAAAAAGCACACTCCGCAGTCCTCCAAATGTCCCTTTTGTCAGTAAAGTGCCTGCTTTTTATTGAGCTCTATTAAGGACCTCAAACCTGTGGTCTTTTTTTAATAAGAGTAGGTGTTTTTGTTTGGAATTTTAAAGCATTTTGGTACTGTGATCCCGGCCCGGATTTTCCTTTTTTTTAAAACATAAAATGTATTTAAAAAAAAAAGCTGGAAAAAGCATCTCAAATTAAATACAAATTTACGTGGTACTGTGGCTAAAATACAGTAATGATGAGGCATAAACTCTTTAAGGTTCAATGTAAAAAAATGGTCTTGAGCTGATGTGATTTTTGTAAAAGATCTTACTTCATCTTAGTCCATCTGAAATAAAACGATGCCTTTTAATTATCTCTACTGAAGGAAAAGAGGCTCCTTTTTCCCTCATCGAGTTACTGTCTTAAGAAAGATGATGACCATCACTTTTAATAATGTATTCTAGTAGACTTTTCATTTCAGACTTAATTCCTTCATTTGTAGAGAGTTGTATTTCTTCACAGCACTGAATGGTTTCATGTTTCCCTGTCACCTGAGAATGTATTCAGGAATAATGCCTTTAGGCGGCTTCACTTGGAGACACTATATTCAGCCATGTTTTTGTGTGTGGAGTATGTTGAATTGAGCTGAAAGGAGGATAGCTGAATGAGTCTCAGACCTGCAAAGCTGCTCTTTGGCTAATTTATAATGTTTTCAGTGTGTGGAGCAGTGAACATGACAAGGAAAAGTATTGAGTCTTGTTGGTGCAGGCTGGGTGTCTGTTTTTCAATTTAGGTTCATCATCACATTTTTTCCTGGTGAACACTGTTTCAAAGCAAGTTTTTTAGGGCAAGCTTTCAACAGTTTTTCTAAGGTACCTGTAAAGATCTGCTGCTATGCAGCCACACACTATTGGAAACAGCTGCATTTGAAAGTAGAATATGAATGCAAGCAAAAGAGGAAAACTTAAAATTCACTGCCTGCAATATAGTCTGAGCATCAGAATCTGCAAAACAAATGGAAAATCTGTTAAAATCTAAATTATTTTATATGACTACAATTTTGCATTAAAAGCAGATACACAATATCTGTTTTAAATTTGGATGATATCCTCTTTACCTCCTTATGAAACTCTGCATTACTTCCAGCACTGCTGCTACATGTGGCTCCTGTCTGTTCTGACCAGTTTTATGTCTGCATTTGCAATATGTGGATCTCTTCTCCTGTGTGAAATCAGCCGACCATCAGTTTGGATTTTTCTTATTTGATTTTGCATAGATGGAAGGGGGGCAGGATTACAGAGAGATAGTAGCACAGGTGGTAAGTAATGATTGCAAGATTCCATCATCTTCAATGGTTGAAGCAGATCCTCATACAGTTCAGGTTGTTTGCACCTGATTTGTTCCTCAAACACTGAAGGATGTTACAGTGTATCTCTATATTTGCACAATTTGGATGATTTTCATAGTACACAATCCAGTCACTAAAGACTGCTGTTTAGTTTATGGGTCATAGGAGACCCAGCTCTCATCACCAGGGATGATCCTCAACATGCCAGTTTGACACTGAAGTTGATATTTGCTCTCTACCCAAACATCAGCATCCCAGCAGGGATGAGAGCACTGCAGCACTTTACAAGTAAACAACCTTCAATGAGATAGCGGCCAAATTTAAATCAGGTACGGTTTCTGCTTTTTATAGGTCGATTAGCAGATCCTTTTGATCCCACCTCGTATTTAACAGTTTATGGGTATAAATTATTCCGTTAGATAGCCACTTATTATTTGACAATATAGTATCATAAATAATTCTGACTGATTAACGCCCTATATTTAATAGTTGGTGTTATTTTTGATGGGCAGGAGTGAGTTTGGCTGAAGGACAAAAATGGAAATGCTGTTGTTATATTTACATCAACAATGCAAAGCCAGACTGCCTTCATTTTACTACACTCCTGATTTGTTGGCACACTTTACCTTTCGTTACAACTTGATTCTCATGCATTCTCATGCATGCACACATTTTCAGACAGTGCCTCTCAGCACAAATAATCTATGTCTAACGGTCTGAGTCGTGCACACTGTCTAAAGTCTAAATTTCCTCTGTCTCTGCCTCTGTGTTGTATTGTTTCTGTGGCCTCACACTTAATTTACCTTGCATTCAAATCCTTTGCTATCACGCATTTTTCAAACAGCAGCAGTGATGGCAGTAGGCCATGCTCTTGTTTCCCTCCACCCCTCTCTTCACTTTTATCTCATCACTCCCAGTCATGTTTCCTCAACATCCCTGCAGCACCACAACCCTTCCTCTAAGGTGCAATAGTGACCCATATCAAACTGATTTCGTAAACAGGCAAGCAGTAGAAAAGGTGCCAGAGGTCAAAGGGTGGAATTTTAAAAAGTGTTAATCCCCTGAGTGTATGCTCATGTGTACTTTACTCTACCTTAACCCCCACCTCACTTTTCCCCTGTGGATTTTGTCCCCTTTGGTGGCTTGGAAAAGTAAATACACTGTGTTATCGGTGTCAGCATACCTAACTCCAACTTCCTGGTTCTTTTTGACTGTCAGGGCTTTCCCTCCCTGTCATAGTAAACAGAAATCAGAGCCTCTGTTAATAATTACCATCACAGCACAGGGATCCCAGTGGGTCTCAGGCTTCCACAGGGCAGTGTGCTTTCTGTTTACATGTCTTCATTTTGAGATGGTGCAGTGAGAGGCTGTGTGTTCTAACACAGTGCGTTCATTGACAGTTTCTCTTCGGCCATGCTTTCCCATGCTATTGGGTCACCGGACAATTGCGTGTCTGTTAAAGTGTGAAAAACTAGATGGACATGGAAAGATGTGGGCTGCAGACTGGAAAAGATAAAGGCTTGATGTTGCAAGCTACACTGACTCCAGGGAGCCGTCACCTGGCAACAGGGAGATCAGATTTCTAAGTTTGTGCGTGCATGTGTGCTGCAGTTTGCGTGTTTGCTTGTGCATATGTTGCTGTGTGGTCGTTTTAAGGCACCATTTGAGGACACTATTCATTTTCTGTGTGACAAAGCATCACAGGCCAACAGATGCACACACCTGAGACCTGACAAGTGAAGTCACAATTGTCTGCACTATTCCTCTGTCACGTTCCATGCACCTACCCTCTCACTTTTTTCCTGCACTCTGTTTCCGCAGGGCGAGTATCTCTGGTACGAATCACCACCCTCAGGCTGGAGGGCCTGCTGCTCGCTGACCAGGGCTTGTATGAGTGTCGAATCCTCTCACTGGATAAGCCAACAGATGAGCTGCAAAATGGCACCTGGACTGTACTTTCTGTTACTGGTGAGGTTAATGGAACAGCTTGTGTGTGTCATTATGGCTGCTCTCAAAGAGGAATTTAGTTGGCTTTTTTACAGTAAGCCAGAGATCAAAATGTAAACAAAGGACAGGATTGAATCCGGTTCGAACAATAATTTCCATCTGAGTCCCCTGGACCAGTTTGTCACTCAAACCACTGAAAATGAGAAACGCTAACTTTTACTACAGCACAGGAAAGCCTGCCTGAGGCCTTGGTACTATTTTGTTACTAGCTGAAATGTTGCTCTTATGTCTTGTTTGCAATTTATTTGATCAGGTTGATTTATTGCTATCATTACAACAGAAGCACATATCCAGCTTAGAAGTTATATTTTGGTCATGTTATACCAACAACTTTAGATTCTTTAGCAGCTCAATGGTGTATTTACCACATATACTGTATATAAAAGATGGACATAACGTCAGCCACTCAGCCATCCATTTGTTGTTTTATGTCTGTCTGTTTCTTCAACAGTAGTCTCTTTTGTTCCTCCTTGTTTAGTGAGGGTTTGATTTGACTAAAAAGACAAAAGGACACTGCTGATGCATATATTTGACTTAATAATCCTGGTCTAAATCCTACCCTTTTTGTCATTTTTTTTACTTTAAATAGGACCTTAATTCACAAAATTACCATGTTCTATTAAATAAAAGAACATCTCTTTAAATTTGTTTTATCCTGTCTTATGTTTGCAGCCAGTGGAGTTGCCCCTTTCTGAGATTTCAAGGAATGCAGTTTTTAGGCACATTTTCTTTATGGCTTTACTTTTAAGATCCCTTTTTATATCATTCACATGCATTTATTTATATATTATACAAATCAAGAAAAAAATGTAACATGAGCTATATGCCTCTATTATAGGCTCAGTTGTGATGTTAGCAAATGACCACGCTGTTAAAACGTAAAACAAAGTCCTGAAGTGCTGCTAGCAACATTGACCACACCACAGTTATTAGAGGGAATTAAAAAAGATAAATTGGTAAGAAAAATTCTTTTTAGGCAAGTGAAGTAAAAAGAAATGCTTGAGTATAGAAAGAATTACTAAATGAAGCAATATTATGTACTAACAATGCTAAAATAAAAATACAAATCTAATTGAGGCCTGTAGAGTCTGAGTTTAACCTCTTGAGTTTTTTGTAATTTCTCTGAGCAATACACGATCTGACCTTTGGGTTAATTAGCTAGAATAGTCACTCCTGGGAACATTGTGGCATTTTGTCTACACACAAGTGAGGGAAGACTTTCTTTTTCACATGACTAAATGTGTGTTTTAAACTGAAATTTTTTTGAGTGCCTCAAGCATAAAAATGGAAATGACTAGAAATGGAACCAAAAATGAGCATGCAGATAGATGTGTGTCATACAGCTTTTTTAAATCTACATTCAATTTTAAACCAATTACCAGGCAACAGCTAACCCCTCATGCTAGCAACAAATGAAACCATAATGCACTAATGCAGACTGCTCACTCTGCATTCCTGTAGCTTGGGATGTGGCAGTATTACATTCAGTAATGGGAGAAGGCGGGAGGAAAGGCGGTGCAGTCAGAATGGAAAGCAAGACCTGGGGTGTGGTTGAATAGTCAAATTTGCTTGGGAAGGTTCCCAACTATGCCAAGTAAGCTGGGAGTATCTGTGCGTCAGCCATGATAAGAGCTTTTTTGCGTTCTCCACATACTAAGGAAAGGTGCTTCAGTGCTTCCTTTATTGCCACTTTTAGCCCAGGACCCACACGACCATCCTCAAGGAAAAGAGAAAAAGGTCATTCTATCCCAGAGTTCTGACCAGTTATGAAAACAACCAAGAAAAAGTGCTAAAGTGTGCAGATCATGTAAATGTTAATTATCAACATGTTTTCCATTTACTAGCTGATATGTTTTGAATTTTAAAGTAAAGATTATGAGTTATTTAGTTGTTAAATTGTATTGGTTTCCAAAGGAAGAAACATAGAAAACATGACTTAATTCCATTATTGTTTTATTCTACATTCTATATAATATATATTAATATAAAGAAGTTTATATTATTCAAATGTGATCTTTTAGCTTACAGTCTACCGTATGAACTTCCACACATCAGGTAACTGCTGTATATACTACATAAAAAAATCACCTCTTAAACTGAAAGAAAACGAACATGATGTTAAAAGAAGTTTTTTTTAAAAAGTGTCTAAACTTTTTTAACAGATCAGGTAATTTGGATAACTTCTGACTTCTTTTACCTGCATTTTGGAAAAAATAGTCATTGACTAGAGTTAGCGTCATACTTCTTGATAGGTGTAAATAATAAATCGTAATATGAAATATGCATCATTATTTTTGCCCTTTGAAGTTTATCTATATTTTCGAAAACCTTTGCTATGATTCCACACAAAAACATACAGAACAAAGTAGGAGTGCGCCTCAGATCAAAGCGGCAGAGACAGTTTCACCGAGCTGGTCTGTGTGAGCATCAGGATAGAGGTGAGAATAGTAATAGATGATGACTGTGTACTTGAGGACTTGGATATTACTTTGTTGGCATGCCCTGCAAGTATGGGCTTTACCTATTGTTTGCACTCCCCTTCAATAATAATCTGTGCGACTGTCACAGGTTTGAATTGGAGAGATAAAAGAACATGCTTCTTTTTCTGTTTTATTAGTCAATAATATACTAAAGCTTATTTTCAGAGAGTAAGTAAAAAAACCTTAAATATTCTTCATATACAGCTACAGTATGGATATAAGTTATGGTGGCTTTTTAACTCTGAAGTGTTTGCAGACAAAAAAGGAAGGCCTGATTGTCCTTTGATAAGATCTGAGATTTAAAGTGTCAGCAAGATGTTCTAAAGGCACATTTAAAAGGCTGCATTTGCAACTGACATTTTCAGTTAAGTATGTGAAATAATAATGTGTCTTTCAGGCTGCTGCTGTAACAAAGCAGGCTGTACTGCTGTCATGTTGTATATAAATGTATTGTCTGCTAATCCAGTTTTTCCTCTTTTGTATTTTTTCCCTTAATACTTCTGCTTTGAAGACAGAGCTTTCTTGCTTTTTACAGAAGGGTAAACAGCTCGAACAGCTTTAATGCTCCTTACCATTGACTCATCAAGTCTGTTGAAATGTACTGGGTGGATGAAACGCCATTCTTCCAAATGAAATTCCCACATTTGGTGTTTTGATAGTGATATTGGAGATTGCTGTTTAACACATCGGTCCAAAATTTCCCACAGGTGTTCAGTCATTTCAAAACTTATCAAACCAATCAGTGGCACCTTTATTCCTATGGAGACCATTTCCATCAGTAAAGAAATATTTCATCATATGAAAAAGTTGAAAATCTTTATATTAATTTGTTACACTTTCCACTCAGGGGACACAAACTATACCATCAGAATGTATGAACATGTATATTTGTTTATGGATGGTGTGAAAGTATTCAATCGGAATTTGTTTTTCCATAAATGGCGGAATCTGTTTTTAAGTTTTTTAAATTTAGATGGTTTATGAGCATCTTTTTAAAGCTGTTTTTATATCCATAGCCCCACCCACCTTCACTGAACCCCCACCTCCTGTCCTCGAGGCTTTGGTTGGAAGTCACATTTCTCTTTCCTGCATGGCTAATGGCAACCCTACTCCAGCCATCACTTGGTTTAAAGACGGCATTGCCATTCCAAAAAATATTTCTGAGGTATGTATTTTTTAAGGGGTTTTAAACCTGCAATACAAATATAGAGCTATAGTTGTTACATGCATGGGGTGAAATAAATAAACAATATTTTCCTCGAAAATAATATATAGTAGTACTCTCTCTTTTTTTTCAACCCTCAGCAGTTGGCTGCACCTTTCTGAGCCTGGTTCTACTGGAGGTTTCTTCCTTTTTAAAAGGGAGCCATCTGATTATTGGGATTTTCTCTATATTATTGTAGGGTCTTTACCTTACTATATAAAGTGCCTTGAGTTGATTGTTGTTGTGATCAATAAAAGTGCATTGAACTGTATAGTGTTCATGCACTGCAATACATACAAAAGTTTGGGTAACACTGAGCAAATGTATCCAAGATGCTTTAAAATCAGCCTCAGTTCAAATGCCCATCCATCCATCCATCCATCCATCCATCCTAGTTGACACAGCAGTGTTGATGCAAAGTGGCACACAAATAGGTTCTAGAAGAGTCCTTGGAAGGAAAACAAAGGCGCTTTGGACACAAGCACCAAATCTGTTATTAAGAAGAGGGGATAAACACCCTCCTACCTGTTGAAATATTGTGGCACAGGAAACATCGTGTGGATACATGTGAAGTATGCACGTAGGAAGTGAAGATTCTACTATATTACTATTCTACTATCAGCTAGATGCAAATGTCATACAGTACTAAATACTGACATTATACTGTAGGGTGCCAATGCTTTTGCACAGGCTACAATTGCTGCGACCTATTGTACTTTCTGTGTTTTTACCTGCCTGCTGCATTCAGCCACCTCTTTACTATGTCATATTTATCAGGATGGAGTTTTATCTCTGCGAGCAGTGAGCATACATTCAGCAGGACAGTACACTTGCCACGCCTCCAACTTTGCGGGAAACGTGACTTGCGTGACAAAAGTGAAGATCAAAGGTCAGTTGTTGCCTAACAGTCTGTCTGTCTGTCTTTCTGCCTGCCAATTCCTTTAGTTTCTGTGATGTCTGTGTGCCCAACTGGCTTGAAGCCACCATAATTTACATTTCTGTTTCTTGCCCTTGCATCATGCAACAGAGCGGTAAAAGAAGTTCAAACTGAACTTGACTGGTATTTAGCCACGCAGTGACTAAATAAGAGTCAATATCATGATGTGAGACAAGATATCATCTGGGACTTGCCAATGTTGCTTTATCGTGATAAAGCTTTGTGTTTTGCTCAGTGTGAAGGCTTCATTTTAGAGAAGTTGATGTAACTTACTAAAAGTTTATTGTCTGTGGTCATATATATATATATATATATTTTTTTTTTTTCCTGAAATCATTAGTACATGAATGAAGAATATAAATATTATGAAAAGAGAATTTTTTTTTTCTTTTATGAATAAAATGCATAATTAGTTCTTATTTTGAAAAATAAACTTTTCTTTTGATAATAATTGTTTCTAATTGCTTGTAATACATGCAGGTGTTCACACACATGTGAAAATTACAAAGATGTTTTCAAATCATAGATCTACCGTCCAGTTTAGGGAGAAATGCATGTAAAATATGCAAATAGGTTACTGTATATCATTGGATTACACCAACACACCACTGCGTAATACACTGTGGAATATATTTCTGACTTCTTCTGTACTCCTACTCCAACTCCTACTGCTGATTTTCCTCTGGAGGACCAGGATTCATCTGTAGCTTGGTGTATGGGGAAATAATTTTTGTTTTGGCAAAAAGTCTTGTTGAGGCTTCACTTAATTTTGGAATCTCACAGATGCAGTGGCCACATTTTAAATAATAATCATGAGCACGTACGACTCTAAGTCACATTATCTGAGCTTTGGCTGCATTCCTCTGAAGCATTGCCACATGGATGGATTACTGACTAATAGCTGATCTGGATGGAATCAAACTAAAAGCCTTGAGTAACCTCTAAACACTCACTCTTGCATATATATGTCATGCATTTATGATTATAAACTTGTTCAGTAATGAGCACTGTAATGATTATGATCTTGTTTATATATGTATATAAGACATGCGGTGTTAGATCTTTTTTATTAGCTCTGTGCAAAGAGCACACATGTTAATACAAGTTTGGAGTGGCTCAGGGAAGAGATAAATGTGACATTGTAATGGCACTAAAATAGCTGCGTTTGACAAATTCTTTTCAGTTGCTTTGGTGTACACACTGTTTTTCTTTTTGACTTTTGGCTTGGTTTGTATTAGCACATTTGTCACCACAACTAAAGGCTTCAAAAGAGTCATTGTAGAAACCCTCATGTGTTAAAATATTCAGTCAACCATTATAACCTTAGGAAGCTAGAGACTGACTGATTTGTTGGTGTATATGGTGTCAGGTCATAGACTACAGATAAGTGATGGATGCAGCCTCCGTGAGGTCTCCCATTAGTTTGGAAAGTCACTCTTGAAGCTTTGAGTTAAACATTTAAGACATAAGATAGCTCAGATTTTTAAGGGCACTCTGTGCTCATACTTGTCAATCAAAACATAGACCTGCTCTAAAGTATACCAAATCTCATTTTCCTTTTACCACATGTGGAGCCATACTTTATATAATAAACAGCATTTACTCATCAGTGAAGTTACAGATTTAGTCAAATGTTGGCTAATT